GAGTAATTAAGTAATACTACTTTTTGCTTATAACAATAAGTTCGGTCTGGGCATTATACATGAGGTGAATTTCAGGAGAACTTAATGCTTGATTTTTTTTTTTTTAAATTACGAAAGCAAACTTGTGACATGAATATACTCACATAATAATCCCAAACCAGGGGGTTCACAGCATTAGGACTCTTGACTACTACAAGTTTTTTGTCCTCTTCTGATGGACGAGGATTCACTGCATTTCCCACATTGAGTCTATTTACTTTATCTATAAGAAACAAAATGGAAGAGCTGTAAGTCACTTGCGCCTTGAAATCCTTGATACATTCAAGCTATGCTAATGGAACAAATGATTACCGCAATAACCAGCAAGGAAGGGTTTTCTTTCTTTTACATTATAATGTGCCTTTCTTTTTTTCACCTTCAATTTCCTCTTTTAGTCTTAGTTTTTGGCGGGTGGGGGAAGCAAAGGGAGAAGAATGTGTTATGATGAAACTGCTTACACACAAGCCAAGCCCACCCAGAACCAAATTGTGTTGCAGCAGCTGCCTTGAATTCTTTGGCAAATTGTTCGAAAGAACCAAAATCCCTGATTATTAGCTCTAAGAGCTCTCCAGACGGCTCTCCTCCACCTCCTGGTTTTATTGACTCCCAGAAGAAATCATGGTTCCAAGCCTGTATTAGTATAATTAACTCAACTAAGAATCTGTAATATAACATTTAACAAGCAAAAGAGGCAGGCAGGTTAATGGTAGTTTGAAGCATGCATAGATCTTAAATCATGTGAAACATAATCTCGCCAAGCAAAAGAAATAAATATAAGCATGTTTAAATTTGTAAATACGATTTTCAGTTTATCATCATTTAGTTCCAAGGACTTATGGTAGAGAACATCAACCTTGTTCACATGAGAAACCATTGAATTGGACAACCAAGAAATATTCCCAACCAAATATGAAAGAACAATAAAACAAAGAAAAACTTGGCACATTAAGAGCTAAAGATGAAGGTACTAAGTGACATCACCTGTGCGGCATTATTGAAGGGTGGAAGAAGATCCCCATTGTTGTATGTGACTCGTATAATGTCTTCTAATGTCATTCCATCCAATTCAGTTCCAACTATTTGCTTGTTCAGATTCTCCACATAAGCTCTGTGATGCTTCCCCCAGTGGTATTCCATTGTATTACGACTCATGTCAGGTTCCAAAGCATCCTTATTTTAAAAAAAAATGTAAAAGAAATAGCACATTAATATGTAATACTAAACAACAACTAAAAGATCAGTCGGGGGCTGAAAAGAGCCCAAATATCATGGTGAAATAAAATTAGCGTGGAATTACTCGGGGCATTTTCAGGTATGTTTCTGGTGAAGATTAGTGAAAGACAGTCAAAGACAATGACCAGCTAAGATATGCCCAATAAATCCAGCAAAAGGCAAGTTGTAAACTTGATTTGTTCATAAATAATTAGCATATTGTATCAACATACATAAGTTGGTTTGATCGGGTAATGTGAACAGGGCTTAAGGCCAAATACCAACCAAGATGGCTAACTCATCATGCCTTTTTAATTGAGTTGCTCAAAGGTAGCCTGAATGAATTAACTGACCAACCAACCCTGATTCAACACGTATGATGAGAAAACAAAATCTGTGTATTGAAATTCAAGACAACAATGCACTTACCAGTGGGTATGGCGGAGGCTTTAAGTCAAATTTTGCAGTAATTTTAGGAGGACCAGCCTTTCTCAGACACTTTCTCTGCAACACAAGGACTCAACCTCAAAGAAAACTCAATAAATGAAAAAATCACATTCAATTGACAAGAAAATATTGCTTCCCAACGTTCAGTTCTTGTTCCAATGTCAGACCCATGAATTGAGAGCTCATCTTCTACCACTTGTACTAGATTCATTTTAAATTATAGAATCACTGAAACTGCAACTGAACTACACATAGCTTGATTATACTTGAAAAGCGTAGCTAAACAAAACATAGCCGCCTAGAATCAGTATACAGCTCGCTTCCACCTACTGGAGTCCGCATATGTGCTGCAAATATCGATGTATATATGCAAATGAGAAGCAATTCAGGACCAGAAAATAGCCCCTCGGAACAACACGTGAAAGTCGCAACTCCAGATGCAATATCCAACAAATGCATTCAATCAAACACTAGTAAGGCATCCAACTGATGTCCCATTTCATTCAACCATGGAAAACAAAAAGAAACAAATTGAAAGTTCACAAAGTAATACTAACAATTCATGTAACATAACCAGATGGAGATGCAGAAGACGCACCTCAATCTTTTTCCATTGAAAGCCCCGAGTTGACCCCCGAAATCCTTCTGCATAAATACAACAGACAAGAACAGTTCTTTAGTAGTGATAAATCCACACACACAAGGCAAATAAATAATAAATTCACAAAATCAAAGAGCTAAGCAGAGAGATGAAGATGGCGACCTTGGGAAGTGAGAAAAGCAGAAATTGGCGGAGTAGCATATGCAGCTGTGGCCATCAGATTGCTGGCTACTCTCTCTGTGTAGTCGAAATCGGTTTTAGAATTAGGGAGGATAAGACCCTGAAAATGCCGCGGTCGGTCCTGGTTGGTTCTACTTATTTATTAGTAGTGGTCAAAGCAGTAGTAGGGTTCCCGGCTCAGGAGAAAAACGCCGTGACTTGGGGCCGGCTGGGTAGCTCAACTTGTACGGCGTGGAAGTGTGTGGGAATTGCAATTTGTACTTTAAGCAATACGACATCCGTAATATACTATAGGCTACTACAACTAGTAAATACATTACCATGTGCTGTATACATACACTCTGCATTACGCTATGAAAATAACAAATATATTTGTATATTTTATGATTTTTTTAATAAAAAAATCGACTTGTATTATAAATATATTTTTTATTTTTTAATACTCCAATTTAGCGATTTATGTTGAATAGAGATACAACATAGAAAATACAAGCAAATATTTTGACTAGTCATGCGTAAGTATAATTTGACAATTTAACCAAACTATAACATAGACAAAACCAGCAAACGATTGGATTTAGTCATGCATGAGTCAACACAGAAAAGAATGTTGAATTGAAATATATGAACTGGGATCGATGTAGATTTTACAAAAATACAAAAAAAAACAAAAAACAAAAGAAATGAAGAAACATAACACTTGTCACCATTTTCATCTTAGTTGCCGACAAGGTAATAGCTAGATGTTTTTGAGTTAAATCTCGTGTTACTAATCTCCTTAAAATTTCAAAAAAAAAAATTTATTAGAAATAGCGGTAATAACACTTTGCTTTTGAAGCTTAAGGGGTAATCAAGTCCCTCAACTTTAAATATATAGACTTTTACTTTCCATGAAGGCGAATAAAAACTAGAAATATCAAAAAAAAAAATTGAGTGCAATGATATTATTTATAACTTAATATCATTTCATTTCATTGCTAAAAGATTTATATCTTCTTTATCATATCAATTATACAAAAATATCAAACTAAAAAAAATACCAAAATCATTTTTTAAAGCAATTTTTTATCAATTTAATTTATTCAATCTTTCACACTAATATCATTGTCATTTTTTGTTTATCAAATTAGTCAAATATGAAATTCTTAATCAAATTTGATAAAAATGCCTAATTTTAAACTCAGAGAAGGGAAAAAAGGAGATTAAATCAAATTTTATTTTTTGAGAAGAAAGTATAATAATCGTTAACTATAACTCCATGAACAGAAAATGACAATGGTATTACCCTAAAAGTTCGCGTAAATTAAAATAATAAAAGGCTGTTTCTTAAACAAACAAAAAAAACAAGTTTTGTATTACCTCTTTTTCAAAAAAAAAAAAAAAATGGTATCTCTATTTATTTTAGTATTGTGTTGTTTATTCTTTTTCATTTAACTCAAATTATAATAAATTGGAAAAGAGCATATATAAAAGTGAATACTAACTGACAGGAAAATTTTTAAGGATATAAACTAAATTTAACAATTTTCAATTTGATATTGTTACATAATTGATATGATAGAGAAGATGTATATGTTTTTTTTAGCAATGGAAGGAATTAATACTACAAGTTATAGATAACTTCATGAATAAATGGACAATAACATCAGAAATATATATATAAAAGTGTTATTGACCCTCAGAAATATAGTAGGTAAGTGAATGCTGATGCGTGCATGGTTTTATGCCTATAAGCATGAAATTAAGAACTGGCTTCAAAACCTCTTCCGAGGGAGGAAATGCAAATATATTTTACTTTCTATGGGGCAACTGGGAGGGCGAAGAGACAGTGTATATAATCAATTTTATGGGACGAAATTTGGAAAAAGTTTTAAACTCAGATATTGGATGATTTCTGCAATTGTCGCAATTGCACCCCTCAGGGAAATTGGTTACAGTTTAAATGGACAGATTTTGTCAAGTCGTGGCTTTCTGCGAAGAGCTGCCTGCCACCCGCCCGCCTTTATAATTCCCGTCCAAGTTCACAACCCACCTGCCATTTTTCTTTGTTCTTCAACAGGTTAATTATATAGTTCATCATCATCCCATTCGCTTCGCGAGAGACATAAAAGTGACTTTTTTTTTTTTCAATCCTTTTTCTAGATTGTGTTTTTGTTTAGATTCGATATTCCACGTTGTGATCGGACCTTTTTTTTTTTTTTTTTCTTAATTTTCTTTTACGTAGGATCCGACTAGGCCTCCTGAAATTCTCGGTGTCTCAATCAAAATCCATAATGCCCCCTAAACGCTCAGGTCTCTTCTATATATACTCTTGTTTCTGTTTTAATTAATACTCCTATATATACATATATATTTTTTTTTTTAAAAATATCCATCATTTGATTTACTTTTCTACTAGAACTAATTCGTATGAGAAAGTGTAAAAGTGAAGTGGAATTTGTTATTTTTATTTTTTTGTAGGTTATAAATATTTGTACCTTTCAATGCAGATGCAGGCCCGAGTAGCACACGCAGGAGGAAGATGAAAGAAGGTGTTGGTGGTGGTGATCAAAGCTTAGTGCCAGCGGCAACCGGGGGAACACCTCCTCTTCCTCTGCCGGCGGGGGCAACTGTTCGATACTTCCCTCTCCATCACCAGCCTCCTTTTACGCCCTACATGTCCAGCGGGGCTTTCTGCTTGGACCTCAACAACAGCCACCACCACCGCCAGTTCTCAAATCCGCTGCTTGAAAACTTGACTATTTCCCCGCCATCGAAACCCTTCACTTCCTTGTTAACTGGCTTTGATGATCAAGACGCTGCTCCGCCAATAGTGAGGGATCACAACGCCCAAATTGATCAACTCATCAGAAACCAGGTAGTTATTTCTCTCGTTAATCACCGCACTACTCTTGTCCGTACGTCCTTTTTGCTTTTTCCCGTTAACAATTTATCCAAATGCCCATGCAACACTAACAAATTTATCCCGCAAGTACACCATGCATGTTACTTTAGAGGTATCGTTTTTTGTATTTAAAATTTTTCATGAAAGGTCTACAATTGAATAATTTTGCAAATTCTTGAATACACACGAGTAAATTAAACCTTCATAATTAATACACGAGAAATTAAATAATTTGCATCATATCTTGTAGTCTTGAAGACGGGTCTTCAGTACTCTTCTTCAGTGTGTTATGCTTATGCAGGTGTGAATTCAATTCAACTAGTACGTAACATGTTTGACTTAATCATATGCACGGCATAATGATTGCGTTTGCATGCAATGCAGGGGGAGCATTTCAAGCGCGTCTTAGCGGAGATGCAGCGGAGGCAATACGATGCGGTGGTGCACGAGGCGGAGGAGAAGGCCGCCAAGAGAGTCAAAGAGAAAGAGTTGGAGCTCAACCAGGTGGCCCGCAAGATCCTGGGCTATGAACACAGGGAAGCCCTGTTCCAGAAGGAGAACCACCTTCTGCAGAGCAAGCTCAAGTACTTGGAGGATACGAATGCTTCTCTGAGGGCGGCTCTCCAAGAGGCTCTCCTCCGGGGTGGTAAAGCGGAGGAGACTGGCGGGAGCTCGGAGGTCCAGCAAGATGACGCCGAGTCGTCCCACGTGGGCCGGCACCGGCTGGCGGAGGAGGTGGAGCCCGTCAAGCTGGCCTGTAGGGCCTGCGGGAAACGAGTCGCCACCGTGATGACGTGGCCGTGTCGCCACGTTAGCACCTGCACCCGCTGCGATGAGACCACCAAAGCCTGCCCAGTTTGTGGGTCCATTAAGACCACCAGTGTTGAGGTGCGTCTTCCGTAGGCTCTGCAGCCCACGCCTGTTAGGACGTCCTGGCTTGGGCCATCTCCATCTTCCTTCGTCTCATGGGCTTTTTTTTGTTTCCAATCGGTCTTGTATACTTCTGTTTTTCTTACAGCTTCAAGCTACTCGTATGATGTATCATCTCACAGACTACTATGTATATTATGTAGGATTGTGATCCAAATTAAGGATTTGAATTTATTATTATTATTTTTGATGTTTGACATGAGGATTGGAAATGGTTTGTTTTTTGTATGGAATTAGTATGGGGTTGAAATTAATTTTTTTTTTGGTTGGAATTATAATTTCATCATTGCAAATTTATTCCATTGAAGCAACAAAGTCATGGCCCCTAGTCGTTGCTAATAAGTCTTGTTTGGATTGCTTGTTTCTGTCGGAAAATATTGTCGTTTTCCATGATCACATTTTCCTATCACCTTTTTCCCTCACATATATCAAATCGCTACAGTATTTTTTCCATGAAAAATGATGGAAAATGCAATCCAAACACAAGATTTATTGTTTCGCATCATTCATTTCATTTTCATTTCTTGTGAAGTAAATAGGGTCTTTGTTGTTAAAAAAAGAGGGACTCTCATCGTATTCATTAATACTTGAGCAAATTATCTTAATAGCCATTAAACTTTTCAAATAGTCAAGTTTTGACCATTCAACTATTAATAGTATGTTTATATTCACTAAATTATTAAAAGTGTAAATTTTGAGTCATTCGGTCTGATTTTGTCATTAACAGTACTAGATCTAATTATTAATAGTATGTTTCGTAAATCGTGCAGACTCTTAGATCTAACAAAGTTAACGGTGAAATCAGAGGGAATGACCCAAAATTTACATTTTTGATAGTTTAATAGGTAAAAATATACGACTAATAATTGAGTAGCCAAATCTTAATTATTGAAAATTTAGTGACTACAGTTTATAATTCCCAGACTAGCTATCCCGAACTTTTAGAAGGATTGGACAGTTGAACCTGTTGGTCCAGAGTAAATTTATTATTAATTCCACTTATATTATCAAAAAAATTAATCATACTTGCTAATTGCCCTGTTGGGGACCGTAATTCATAAGCTCTTTAACTTTAAGGCCTTTTTTTAAAAAAAAAAAAAAAAAAATTCTCCATTGCGCGAGATGTCGCGCCATATTTTAGTGGTCTGGGGAAACTTCTGTACAACAAACTATTCAAACAAATCTCTCCTACTAAAGAATTTGATCTGTCATAATCACGGGATAACTCTGTGGCCTTTTTCTTTTTTTTTTCTTCGTTTGCATACTGTTTGCGTAGAGATTAAGATAATCTTTCAAAACGTTCCCCGTTACGAGTTATCGTCCTCAGATAGATGGCACAATACAGGTTAACGGAATTTCCAGGAACAAGCAGCAGAAGATGGATATGGCAGATGAGGATTTGTTGGAAGCCCCACAAATCTTTCCCTGAAGGCCATGCAATCCCTACTTTTTCTTTGTGATTTCTACCTGGGCTAACGTCAAGCGATCCTCATTCCAGGCAACAAGCAAGACATTACTGAGTCAGATGTGGTGCAAAGTTTCCCCAACACGAGAAGGTGGTTTTAACTCATTTTTTATTCACATAAAACTTTTTCCTCTGCACCAATTCTACCATTTTAATGGTGTCAATGGGGATAATAGGTGATGGAGGAGATGGCTTTGAAGGATACTGCAAGGTCTTGCATTGGAGGCAACTTGTTCTCTTGAAGAATGAAAAGGCAATCACACAGGACTGGCAGGAACATCGAACTAGTATAGGTAACAAACTGAAGAGTTTCTCTCTGTATCTTCTTCTTCTTGATATAGATACTAACTTGAAACAGAGATTAAATTGAAGCACAACATGTTTCTACTTTCATCTCCTTGTGTTGCTTGGCTTTTCGCCTCTTGGAACGATTCATTAAGGCAGTCAGATTGGTTGGCCATGCACAACCACGGTGCGAAGGGGAAATCAAGAATCAGTTTGACTTTTCTTTTGTCCTGCACATTTAATGTCACTGAAGTGGTTCGGGGAAAACACAATTAGAATGCCACAAGATTGGCAAAAATTGCACAGGTTTAATTGTTTAATCAAAAAGAGAGAGAGCTACATGTTACATTCAGGAGGATTACTGCATTAAAGAAATTTCATAACTCCGGTTATATATCGTTTGATCAGATGAACAACCTTTTACTGGGGCCATAAGAAAATTTACGAAGAGCTTGCATCAAAGAAATGAACTTCAAATTCCATCGAAGGCAAAGAACTGTACAACAATCTGCAGTACCAAGTAGATCACACGGCTGAGAATCATATATTTGCTACAGTGAAAACGGCTTTGTGTACGCATCAAAAGGTTCATTAGCTGTCAACTGTGGTTCCTGCAACAAAGTAAATGATAAAACTTCAATTACTAGCTTCATTTAAGAGAATTTCACCGTATTGCTGTCCTATTTTCTATATACGGCAAGATGATTTATTTCATCTTTAGAAGCTTTGACAAAATCGAGGCCCCATAAAATGAATTATGAGATAGCACCAAGGACATACTTTCTGACAGACAAGCTTTAACATGGCAAACTGATTCAGAATGTCAGGAGTTTGACCTCCAGATTTGGGATGAGGATTGGCAAAGACGATGTTTTACCTGTCTCGTACCACTTAGACTGCCACCCGTCAAAAGCATTGTGAGGAGTGATGTCACAATGCCACCTCCTAGACCATCCTCGTTACTGGTGACGGTTGATCTCATTGAATTTAAGATGCTCCCATATGTGGTTCCCTGTCCACGCTCGATTGCTTGGATAAATGAATAAGTCATGGCCCCCGTTGAAGTCACTTTAGATAGAGCCTGTCCAGCATTTAGATGAGATTAATCCATGCTTTCCTTGTTTAGTTTGAGCTTAGAGAACAGTATGATTTATTAATGAAATAGTAAGCATAAAGCATCAAATCAAGATTGGGAAATGAGAGGAAGTTGTATTGAATTTACATCTGTATCAGCAGCAGTTTGATCGTCGTCACAACCACTAAATGATATGACTTCTCCACCACTTGTTCCTTTCCATGCACCTGATCGAGGGCGATGGTCCTCCCATGTATACCTCCCAGTTCTGCACAGCAAAGATTAAAGCAGCTTGAGAAAAAAAAAATTTCAAGGGATCTCAAAGAGAAATATGTCACTCAATTGGCTGAAAAACCAGCCATTTTCAGAATAATTTATCTATTTTCTTTTCTGACCTCTCTGCTCATTAGATACTAGACATCAAGCAGTAAATGTTCAAAGGATTGATGAACCTGTCCATCCTACAAAGGAATGGTAAATCCAGCACTGTGCCACTGTGACATGCATCTATGATAGCATGAAGCTTAGCTCCACGAGGAAGTGGCCTAACAATGGTAGCATTAATTTCATCATCAACTATCATCCCTTGTGTTTCAAAATCCAAAGGACAAAGTGTTTCATCATAACCATCAACCTCATCACCGTTGTAGTTCCTTTGCTGTGAACCATGACCTGAATAATGGAATACCAAGGAATCAGCTGGCTGACAACCTTGCACAAGCCAATACATGGCCATTCTGATGTTGTGTTTTGTTGGAATACGGTAAGGATCTGTTTCTTCTTCTGAAAAGATAAGTCCACAGCAAATTAGATTACAAACTGCCATTTTGGTTGTACAACCTCTATTAATTAGTTAATTAGCTAAAGGCACGAATTGGCAGAAGCTTGTTATTAATCGACGAGTATGAGGATAAAAAGTACTCTTTCATTAACTAGCCACGATTCAATCATTTAGTTATCAAACAAGAAATATACTCAGAAAATCATGTTATACTCATTCTCGGTCAACATCCTGTCATAACACTATGAATAAACAGAGTTGAGTCTCATAGCAAAAGACTATGCATGCACTATTTCTACTGCTGGGGCTTTGAACTACTGAATTTTTGGATTTTCAGTTACTTATTTAGAAGCTATTAAGAACCACTCACAATATCTCTTTGCTTTAAATATGGTTGGATTTTCTCCAGATATTGGTACCATTATTGCAGGATTCCCAGACAGGATTTGATCAGGAGTTGTAGTTAATTTGTGGAACACCTTAGTAAAATTCTTTACGATACTCTAAAATCAAAAGCATGTTTATGTGATTCTTGCAATTACATTAAGTGGATAGGATACCTAGCCTTTGCTTGCAAGATTCACAATCTTGCTGATTTATATTTGAAGATGGAATAAATTCCTAAAGTAACAAGTTTGAAACTGGAGGTGTTCCAGTTTCTTGCTTCAGAACCTTTTATTGAAATTATAACCACCCATCTTTCAGCTGTCAATTAAATGATTTAAGAATCTTTTAGTTAGGATAGTCATTGGTGGACCCAGAAAGTTTAATATAATCGTGTGTGGCTTATTCAGGCAACAGTGAATATTCAGCTTCGGCAGTTGTTTTCTGCGAATTTATTAAACATGGTAAAAATTTGGTCATCCAAGCTGCAAGGGAAACGCGGTATTGATTATGTGTTTGAAAAAAAGTAAAGAAAGCCAGAATTGATTTAGATATGCTAAGCAAACAGACAGGGAGAGTGTGCAAAAATAGATATACCAACTTATATCTGGTTGTAGTAGCCTAGTAGGGATCTTGCAGCTGGGAACAGAAAGGGAAGAACTTTTCAGAAACAGAAACTAAAGCAATGCTTTTTTTTTTTTTTGGGAACTAGCAAGTATCCAGCAATCAGTCAGACCTAAAAATAGTGAATAAAAATCAGACACAAATCAAGAACCTCGAATTCTCACAATAAATTGAAATCCCATAACAGAAAAAATTGGTAGAAATTTGGAACAGGTTAATGCCTGAAGAAACAAAATAATGCACATTAGTGCAAAGTCGTAAGAAATGGCAAGAGAAAAGCGTGTAACAATCACCGGTGAGCATGAGAATAGAATCGGAAGGAAACTTGAAGCGATTGATGAGCAAGAACTTCATGCACT